AACATGAGATTTCAATGGAACTGAAAGATTTATATTGTTAATTCCCTTGAAAATTTCATTTTATTATCCTATGTCGGAAGGCGTGATCATCCCGATCGCATAACAGGATACCGTGAACTGTCAACATCGTTAACTTCACTCCATCACATTTACACCTGGACTTATTCGTCCTTGTGCTAGCTGACCTTGTGAGGAAATTTATTGGAATGTAATTCTGAATAACAAGTTAAGAAAATTCACTAGTTCACTAAAGACACAAAACAACTGTCACTTTTACTTTAAAACCATTTTGTTATTATTATTTTGATGAATTTAGTTGCAGTATTGATAAACAAAGTATCACGTTTTCAATAATTAATATTTTAAATTACAATATATAACTGCGAGGTTGTGTCATTGACCAAAATACAACGTTGAGTCAACGTCACATTATGACGGTGTTTCGACGTGGCTGGATCAACGTTGATTTAACGTTGAAGTTAGGTAGATCAACGGCAATTCAACGTATCAACTTGTTTTCAACGTTGATCCAACACAACTATGCCTGCTGGGATTGGAAAGGGGAGCCAGGTTGAGAAGGATTATTGCACATCACTATAAACACTGTTGAATCCGATTAAGTCATTTTTACTTTTACTTTAAAACACCGTTTTTCATATTTTGATAAAGTTCGTTACAGTATTGTTGTCTATTTAATCTTTTCAGGAATTAATGAACAATAGGTGGATTATGCAGCACTGTTATTGATGTTAATAGGCTAGAACTAATTAATTATTACCCATGGCAACATACCCGGTATACCTTGCAGCTGCCGTAAATTCATTTTGATACATTATGTTATACATATGCTTTTATATAAACATAGTATCACGTTTTTTTATAATTTTAATTAAAATATTTTAAATTACGATCCATGTCTTGGATCACGACCAAACAACGTTGAGTCAACGACCAAAATATCACGTTGATTCAACGTCACAATATGACGGCGTTTTGATGTGGCTGGATCAACATTGATTTGACGTTGAATTTAGGTAGATCAACGACCCAACCTGTTTTCAACGTTGATCCAATGTCACTGTGCCTGCCCCCTGGTGTGTCTCATTAAATTGCTGTCCACTTGGCGGCATAAATGTCTATCACGACTAGTAAAGCTGTTAGGGGTAATTATCTTTACCCTAGCCGATTCGGTAGGCGTGACAGACATTTAAGCCTCTTGAGCTGACAGCAATTTAGCGTGAACCCCCGGGGAGATAGGTCAATACAGATGGATCGATCTAAATATGTGGGAATGCAGTCTAACATCTAATCTTACTTCTACTATCTAAAATATCTTGTAAGTCAAGCATATACAAATATATACTTTACTTTCCATAGTTCAGATGAATATCCTTGTCCTATGACAATAATTATACTCATATTATCAATACAAAGTGAACATTACCGTCACATATCTTAACTTGGAATAATACCTACTTCAAATAGACAGTAACTGCCTCGGCTTGGTTGCAATTCATACAAAAGCAGCAGTGGAGAGAGAGAGAGAAACAAATCTGATCCGACTGCGCTGGAGTACCAGATGGCGACCTTCATCTTGCCAATCCTTTTGTGGCTGCCATGCTCATTAAATACTCAGAACTCTGACATAGTATTTGTTACTTATGCGGCACTTTTGTGTGAATCTGAATCCTGTCAGGCTCCATTTTATCAATTGTTCCATTTGAGTTGATCTGAATTCGTTAAATTGAGAAAAAAAGACAGAGAGATAGAGAGAGGGTAAAAAAAGGAGGTCTAACATTTTCAAAATTAGTCCAATAGTCACCTGTCTCACGGCTTATTCCCAATGATACTATAAATGGAAATGGCATGGGTGGATGGGCCAAGCACTAGAGATTTATCCAAAACTGAACAAGGCCAAAAAATTGTACAAACAAAGTAAACTGTTTCTTAACAGTTTAAATACTTTTTTTACCAATGAGGCATAATGTTTTGACTTCTCTTTAGAAAAGATTTACTTTTGTACCATCACTTTACAAGAAAAAAAAAGAAGAAATATATTTTCCTGAAGACCAAAATGGTCGGTCTTAACAAATGCAAGAAAATTTCAACATGATCTTTGGGGGTT